TGAGGATGCATGGATGTGTATATGCCTCACAATGCAAAAGACTGCAGGAGGCTGCTTGAGGATCATTTCAGACTAAAAACAAACAATACAGGAAATATTCGATTTCTTTAACTCAATTTAATTTGTTTGTAACTATAGAATGCAATAAAGGTCCACAAAAATGGAGAAGAAGATGGACCAACATTATATTATTGTTTCATTTCTTATCATTCAATTTACAATGTATTCGCTATCCATAATGATTAATGATCGAGTAAGGTGTGTTTAGTGTGCCACTATTTCAATTCATGTGTCAATTTCATCATCAACCTATCAAGTTAATTAGTGTACAATGATACCGTTCCGTTTTGGACCTAGGGGTGCGACAATTAAATACACATTTGTTAGGTAGTAAACATATAGCTTAAATTAAATAATACTCCGTAATACAATACTTTTACATGAGATTCTGAAAAGTTCGTGAGGCCCGCATTTTCGTGAGTCAAAAAATGTACGTCTTAAGTCTTTAACCCGCCTCACCTCGGGGTGGTTTAGGGTTGACACGCGAGTTTTGACTCACTTTGACACTCTTATTAATAATAGGCAATAATAAAATCTCTTGACATTTATAACAAGCAAACTAGCTAATACCTTCAAAATTAGAGACATGGGGTCTCCAAGCTTCTTTTGTGAATAGAGACAGTTCCCAGTGAGAGGACGATAATCCTATCACATAGAAGGTACATGATTAAAAATACTCAAAAGATCGAGAATGGAACACTGCAAACCAATCTCAACTTTAATTCCAGTCAACAACAAGCTAAGTGCAGCAACCCCATCTCAACCATATGAAAATCCAGCACAATATTTCAGTCTAGTTGGACCACTACGGGGTGTCCTAATGATCGCAAGTCCACTAGTGGTTTTGTCATATAAATTGGTAAAAATTTAATATCTTGGGTTTGTTGCAAACAAAAAGACAGTGGCAGTGAGGTAACATGGTTAGTTGCTCTAATTTGAGAACTTAAAACCACATTGACTCTGGTGTGATAATCTTGATGCTACCTATTTGTGTGCAAATCCTATTTTTCATGACCGAATGAAACATGTAGAAATAAACTACTATTTTGTTCGTGACAAAGTAGCATTAGAGAAACTACAAGTGAATTATATCTCTACAAGTAGTATTAGAGCTAGGTCATGGGTGACAAAGTAGCATCATAGGAACTACAAGTGAATTACATCTCTACAACTACAAGTAGCATTAGAGCAGCTAGGCCATGAGTTCGAGTCGTGCTAGGACGGGGAATGGTTGGCTGGCAAGCAAATTTCTTGTTTGGTTGGAGAGAATTTGCAATTCCCTCATTTTCCTCATTTGTACAGAATTAAAATCCATTAAGACAAAATTCGAAATTCGAATCCATTAAGACAAAATTCGAAATTCGAATCTCATGCATGCCTCCCCATATGTTCTAATGATACGAGTTTATATCTAAAGTGATGGACATATTCCAAATAATAATTACATTGTATTATAGTTTTGACACAAATTTACTTGACATTTAATTTAATAATAATAATATTAATATGAACATTTTGATCTTTATACTACTTATTTCTTTTTCAATTATGAATACTAAACACTAGACATAAAATTTTTAATAATTCTATCCCGACAAACCAAACACCCATATTCTTGCTTCTCCCTTTTTTGGTGCACCTATTGAGTAATCACGTACTTTTCTAATGCTCCACAAACTGTTGTTTATGACTAAACTTTCTCATCTTTTAAGTGCATGTGCGTCCAATTTTCTAGTTAAGGAGTAAGGAGCCCAACTTCCCAGCCCCGTGCCGAGGAAGAATGCCATCCAAGCCCCGCGCCGAAGAATGGAGTCCAACTTCCCAACCCCGTGCCGAGGAAGAATGCCGTCCAGGCCCCGCACCGTGGATCCAGAAGAATGCCAGCCGGGAGGAGTCCGGCGCCGTGGATCCAAAAGGATCCAAAAGAATGCCGACCAGGAGGAGCACAATCCTTACCGGGAGAAAAGGAAAAACCACTAAACCACAAATTACATAGTCATGACCTAATTAAAAAATTTTAATAGTAAAGACTATAATTAATGTAATTTTAATAGTAAGGACCAAATGTAATTAATGTATAACAAAGAGATGAACAAAAGTGAAATTTATTCAAAAAATGTTTTTAAATCCTTACAATCCTACCAGGATTTCAGAACAAAAATTCCTAAAGAAAGACAGAAAAATAAAACTTATAAACCCAATAGACAAAATAAAATCTTTAATTTAACCAAAAAAATAAATAAATACTCTACCTCCAAAAGTAAAGAAGAATAAAAATAATAAAACAAAAAGTAAAAAACCGAAAAATCTTGGACCATGCTTTGTCCATGTGCTCCACCCGGTCCAGCAGCTCATTCAGCATTCTCGTCTGCGCGCCAATTCTCTCCCACAGCAGTTGCATCATCCTCTTCACTTCTCTGTGTCTCATGTTGCTTTCATCTCCCCCAATATTACTTCTCAGATCGATCATCATTGCCTCAACTCCTTCATTCTGAGCCGCCTTAGGAGGATTATTATTTGTGAACTCTGAAACTAATCTTCCCATTGATTGCGGTGCCTCATTGTATTCATGGACCTTCACTTCGCTTTTTTCAACAACATTCCCCCAACGATCATTATTAGCTTCTTCATCAACACTGTGATCCGCTTTATTTCCGACGAGATCGGAAGTAGTCTTTCCTGCAGTTTCAAGTACTACACTCGCTGACGATGAATCGACGTCGTCGATAGTGACAACATGGATCGAGTGATCAATGATTTCAGGTTGCTGATCAGAATCATCATCAGGAGAATCGCCCTTCCTGAAGAAGCAACCCCTCCTTACTACTTCCGATTCAGATTCAACCCCGCCGCGAGCCGAATCTAATTTGAAGCGAAGAGACTTGAGCAGCTTGTTGACGCGGATCCTCTCCCTCTCGTGTCGCCGCAACAACGCCACCGTTTCGCTCTCATTTCCATCCACCTCCAGCGACATCATCACGCGATTAATTAATGCGGCATTAATTTTCCTTTCCGATCCTCACCAGAAACACCTTCTACCTCGCCTGGATCATCAGAGGCGTTATAACGAGAGGGTCGGGACCGATAGCCTCCGAATAACGGGCCGGGCTCTCCGTCGTCATCGTATTTTATGCTTTCAATTAGGTAGGTCGTTGGATTCTATTTGAATTTGTATGCCCTTTGAAATGTTTTAAAACTCCAGTGGTATTAGATTTTTTTTTTTGTTGGTACTATTCACTCGGTTACATACTGAAGCACGAACCCATGACTTTTCAGTTGGGAGAGTCACTCAGATTTATGAGTATTTTATCTCAAAATAAAAATTATAAATATTTAATTCAGTCTTTTTTACAGTTTTAAAATTTTATTTTTTTGGATCACGAAAGAGGGATAAACTCGGTGATAAAACTATTATACATAACAAAAATAAAGATCAACAATTATAATTATATATTTTATTGTAATAATATAATAAAAATTATTATACATATTTGATGTAAGGGTAATAATTTAAAGTTTTATGAGATCAAAATGATAAATTCTTTTCAATGTCTACATTGAAACAAAATACAAATGTTGATTAATTAAAAAACAAAAGCACTGTACCAAAAAAATGCTCTCTATGAACGAGTTATCGGACGGCCATAGGAAAAGCACCCCGGCGGAGGTGAGAATGGCGGGACCAAAATCTTCTTGAGCATAGTACAAAAAAATCGAAAACAAGTGTTGAAGTTGAAAATAATTTACCAAACGAAGCGTATCACCTCGTCCGTGCTTCTAGTCAATCGACGATTATAAGTTCGCCAAATATGGTCATGGATCACTATTTGATAATCCAAGATTAGAGACCAAATTTTAATCCTAAAACTGATAGAACTGAGTGGGTCCCCAAAAGAAAAATACAAATGTTGAGCCATGAAAATTTTTTATGGGCATTTAATACTTTTCCACCCATTAAATTCTTAAGAAAATGTTTTCAATGAATATATTTGATGAGAATAATGTTGTAAGAAAATTTAATTAACATTTTTTATGTTATTCTATAAATATAAAAATTAAATTACTTCAAAAATTAATTAAAATATTTGCTTCGTCTAAACTTTTCTAAAAATTTTAAATCTCTAATATATCTTGATATAATGCCAACATTAAAATAACACAAATTATACCATTAATAAATCATATGCCAGAAATTCCAGTCTGTAACAAGAATATTCAAAATACAAAACAGAACATATGTAAAAAAAATAAAAATGTTAAGAGAGACAAATTTCTTTGATAAATAATGTTATCTTTCGTAATAGTGTAGTGAGAACAACAAATTTCTTATATTTATAAAGAAAACTTTTAACTTGGTGCCAAAAAAGATAAATTTAGTAAATTCCTAATCATCGAAAAAAATTCCTATATCCCTGAGGTGGAATTTACTTTTGGAAACCGAAATCTGAAACTATCAACTAAATATAAAACTAACACCATAATAAGACTTATCACTGTAAACAATTTGATCTGTTTAACGGTTAAATGTTTCAGATCCATAAGAATGAAAATAGAAGAAAATTAAAGGTAGCACAGGGAAGAGGAGGAGATATTCATGCTCACCAAAGCATCATAGGAGAAATATATACACCGCTATACTGCTAGCTATAAGTAATAGGTTGTCAAAACCCCAGAGGCTGGATAGAACTGAAACACCACCAAATAGAAACCTAAGCTCTCAAACCATTTTACTAGGGTTTCACTCATAAGGTTAAGAAATTGGAGTCCAACCACAAAGGATCAAGACACAAGTGTAGAGACATCAGCAAAATAACTCTAACAAGGTATAATCAATGAGGTTTTAAGACAACATTGAACCTTTATTCAGTTCAGCAAGCTAAATCAAATTGCAGAATTTAATGTGAGATCTAAGGTAAAGGAAAGCATCTGGAACACAGAAATTAGAGATCAAATCTTAGAAATTGATAACACCAAATAAACATTAAACAGTGTCTTCAAATGTTGCATATCATTGGTTGAACTAGCACTACAAAGGGCCTAATTTGAACCTGATGCAAAGCTATTACAAGGGATTCTCAATCCCAAGTTATATGACTTTACTCCTTGTCTTGTTTTGCAGCTTCTTTGATCTCATCACCATCATCCTAATCAAGAAGCAAACAACATAAATAAAAACAATTAGTAAAACAAATAATCTCAACAACAAATGCAGAAATATTGATATAAACAAAGACCCGTAGATTTACCTGCATGTCAGAAGTCCACAGTGTGAGGTTATCACGAAGAAGCTGCATAATCAGAGTGCTATCCTTGTAGGATTCCTCTCCTAGTGTATCCAGCTCTGCAATTGCCTCATCAAAGGCCTGTACTGGGCAAAATATACCATCAAAACAGTTTCCAAACACACCCATGAATTCAAAAGAAAATCACTACACTAGAAAGCAGACTTTTCTCTTTTGAAATTTGTTTTTAAATATTCAAATAGAGGTAATCAATTTGATAATTTTGATAACATAAACCTTTGGACGTCAAATAGATCCTAAACACATCACACTAATTGAAGAGACAGATTACTGCAGTGTAGCCTAGTTGGACGTTCACGCTAGAATGCAGTATTATTAAAAATCTTACTCTGAACTTTGGTTGTAAATATTTCAAAAGAAGGTAATAACTCATAAATTATCGATCACCTGTTTGGCGAGATTGCAAGCACGATCAGGAGAATTCAAGATCTCATAGTAGAACACAGAGAAGTTGAGAGCAAGGCCAAGACGAATCGGATGTGTAGGAGCAAGTTCAGTAGTGGCGATTTCCTGAAAGAGGGGCATTTGATTTGCAATTAAGATTTCAATTTCACGTTTCAAATCAAAGGATACGATCTATGGAACCCTATAGCAGCATTTGAATAAACTTATAAATTGAATTGAAGAGATTGATAAAAACGATAAATTAATTCTTAACCCTAACCCTAGCGGAAACGAACCTGAGCAGACTTGTAAGCGGAGAGAGTGTTCTCAGCGGCCTCTTTTCTCTCGGCTCCGGTCTTGAACTCAGCCAAGTATCGGTGGTAATCACCCTTCATCTTCAAATAGAAAACCTTGGAGTCGCCGGAGTTAGCGGCGCCGATGAGTTTGGAGTCGAGGAGCTTGAGGATGCCGTTGCAGATCGAGGTCAGCTCTGACTCGATCTTAGATCTGTACTCCTTGATGGAGGCAACGTGGTCGTCGTTGCCGCGGCTCTCCTCCTTCTGCTCGATGGAGGAGATGATACGCCAGGAGGCACGGCGAGCGCCGATCACGTTCTTGTAGGCGACGGAGAGGAGGTTGCGCTCCTCAACCGTCAGCTCCTCGGCGCCGTCTGCGGCCGCCACAACCTTCTCCATGAACTCCACCATCTCCTCGTAGCGCTCCGCTTGCTCGGCAAGCTTCGCCATGTAGACGTTCTCCTCGCGTGCCGATGCCATTGATGCGTGCCGGTTTTGGTGTGTGTGTGTGTGAAAATGGAAGTTCTTCGGAGAGAGAGAGAGAGAGAGAGAGAGAGAGAGAAGTATGGAATTAGGATTGTCCTGTCTGTTTAGTGGGATTTTTGTAGGAATCGTGAGGGGGAGCAAATGTGGGCCCAGAGAAAGCGGTGGTGAGGCAACTTGCATGGCATTGGACATTTGGGCTTACTTTCAGTTTTGCTTTTCTGCCCAATCTCTGCACGCCTAAAGTCTAAAACCATGGTTGGTAAAATAATCAATCGTTATATCGTGGATCGCGGTGCATAATCGATTATGCACCGCACATCAAAACGGCACTATTTCTATTAGTGTTAACGAAGTAACACTACAGTGTATACTGTCTCACGTATTATTTTTATATTATCAAATGAAATTGCAGTTATATCAAAATGATATTGTAGTTGTGGTGAAATGAAACTGCACTATATATAAAATGAAATTAAATAACATTTCACATATTTGAGTGTATATTGTACAATAAAGCTGTAATTATATCGAAATGATCATGTAGTTGTGTTTTAATGAAACTATAGTGTATATAAAATAAAATTAAATAACATTTTCACATATTTGAGTGTATAAATATTGAATGAAACTGTAGTTATATCGAAATGAAATTGTAGTTGTGTTGAACTGAAACTGCAGTGTATACAAAATGAAACTGAAGAACATAGTTATTTTTTGCGGACGGTGCGGAATGACGCGAAACGGATTCCGTTTCTTTTCATTAAATAAAACGAAGTCGTTTTGATGCGCGGTGCATAATTGATTATGCACCACGGTGCACGATATAATTGGTAAAATAATAGTCTGTCAATTAATTTTGATTTATTTGACCATTATTATGTATTTGACTTAGTTAAACAATTAATATAAATGTCTGATTAATTATTTTTTATAATAAATTATTTTTCTAAAACTTAAAGTAATTTTTTCGATCAATTTTTTAAAAAAGTCATCATTTTGTATATAATCAGCTAACAACTAACACTAATTTACCAAACATTTTTTTTATAATCAATTAATACTATCAACTAGTCAAATTTATCAATCAGTAAGTTAACCATCATTTACCAAATACCCCCATAATCTTCATGATAAAAGATTTTATTTTTCACTTTTGTTCCCCTAAGTTAATATTGTACATTTTTATATTTAGTCTGTAACTGTCAATTTTTCACATTTAGTATGTAATTATTAATTTTTTTTCATATTTAATTTTTTTGATAAATTTAATGATCAACCTTGACCGAAATCATCCACCTAATAGTTATGTGATTTAGTTGAATTTAAATAGCACATAAAACACACAATAGAATACAATGACTTTAGGGTAAGTGTTGATGAAAGATAAATGAGATTGACAAAATTTTGACAAACAAAATTAAATGTAACAGAAATTTAATAGACATGCACAATATATGAAAATTTTGATAATCAAGAACAAAAAGTAGAAGTATAATAATCGAGAAACTAAATGTGAATAAATATCTCACTATAAAATAAGGAAAATTATTAGTATAAGAAGTAAAACATTTGTCATGTGTTTGAACTTTCAAAGAAAGAAAGCGAAAAAAAAAAAATAATAATAATCAGAGTATGACACGTCGATAAAAATAACAATAAATGTAATATTATATACAAAATAATAAGAAAAAAAAAGTATTTTTACTCTTCTAATTAAAAGTGGTCAAAGTAACATCATTAGTAAAAACTTATTTTAAGTTTTTTTGTCATGTCGAGAACCAAAAAAAAAATGAAAAAAATTAGTTGTCATGTCAAATAGGATGGGTAGAGAGAGAGAGAAAGAAAGAAATAAAAAATAAAATAATCTAGAAGCAAAGATGACGTGCCTAGATGGCCAGATGCAATGCATATTTTTTTTTTTTTTGTTCTATTCAATATTTGACAATCACTATATTCAATCAAATTGTAAATATTCTCACACATTCACCGAATTTGTTCATTGGGCGACTGGTTTATTAATGAATTCTTTGATGATCAGATTGTTGTCATTCAAGAATCTCTTAGTTTCTTTCTAGTCATCTTTTTGTCGTTTCTATGTTCTTTATATCACTTCTTCTTATTCTCAAATAAAAAAACTAATATATTTTATTATAATTATACCTCAGTTTACTAAATAAATAAATAAATGGAAAGAATAATAATTGTAATAGAAATATTCCTCTTTGGAAAAGACGTGGTATCTTAAATCACTATTTGAAAAATCTGGAAATCAAATTATTACTCCGTATTTAACTAGAATAGAGCGAGAAGGGGAAAGGGACGTCATTAAGAAAACAAAATAGTAGATGACAGATACCATGATTTTCATGTTCACTTTCCTCTAACTAGTAACCAAAAAGCAATAAATAGATCTTGTGTAATAACACCTCATCATGAAACTGTTTAATACATTACATTGTATGTGCATAGAAAAATACGACATTTTAATTAAAACAAAATATTATATATATCACATGAAATAGTATCATTAACGATGCGATTTATACCGATTAATGCATATGGTTATAACAAAATATGTAGTAGTGGAAGACAATATCAATATGCCATGACTGTCATCATCATAGCTACCACATGCACTGTAAAAGGAAGCCAAAAGGCATGGATGAAATGGTACACTTTAAATGTCACAGGTAAAAGCCAAAGAAATGGTAACAAAAAATTTCTGAATTGATGAAAATGCTGCTACAGATCAGTCTGGGTTCACTAGTAAACTAGCTGCCTAGTTATTATAGATTGTTTGCTTATCAAAAGAAGAAAAAAATCGTGTAAATTGTTTGTAATCAAGCAGCACCTTATTGTAAATTGTTTGCTTATCAAAACAAAATAAGCTGTTTGTAAGCAAACACCTAGGTGCTCTCTTTTGCAACTAAAAAAAACTAAAGAAAAATAGAATCAAATGAGAAAGCTGCAAAAGAATCATTCCAAACAGAAAGAATGCACAATGTCCAATCAGTATACCAGCACCAACTGAGAAAGCTACCTGTTCGCCAGTACAAATCCTGGACGAAAATGCAAAGCATAATTATAGTAAAGGCAGAATAAATAAATAAATAAATTATATATATATATACATACATATATATATATATATATATATATATATATATATATATATATATATACATATATGGATGCATTCGGAAATTCCATCTTTTTTATTCGTATTGAACCAATGGTCCCTTCAATCAGTGGAGGAGAGGCATTATAGTATACACGCGATTGGGTATGTTTCGACAAACTAATGGACAAAACAAGATTAAAAAAATATGGAGATTCATATGTTAAAGCCCCATATGCCATCCCAAAAAGCAAACCAACACAGTTAAAAGTACACTTTTGCATGTCATCCAGATGGACCCCTTCAGCCATCAACAGAACAAATGAACAATTCATCTAAGATATAAGATCAGATCAAGGGACATAACAATGTAGAGTAAAAAATCCTCAACTTCTATCAAAAGAATCAATTTGATTTGAGGTTGCCTTAGAGGAACAAGTCGTTTCAATAATAGGGTATAAGTTTTGATGGTCAACAAATCAATTAAAATCATGACATAATACCAATTTGTCTTTCATTTCACAAAAATATTAGTTAACTGAAAAATAAGTGGGAGGTGATTACTGATTTTAATACATTTTCAATTTCATTTAGAAAGACAGCATTTCTAATGCCATATAAAATTTGAAATGCCTTCTCTAAGATGTGAAAGACATTAACAAGTTTCCTAAAGATGGACCCAAGATAATGAGTAAATGTAACAGTAAAACCTGTCTTTCATTTCACAAAAATATTACTCCGTAATTAACTGAATAAATGGGAGGTAATTACTGATTTTAACACTCTTTTTTTCAATTTAATTTAGAAAGACGGCATTTTAAATGCCATATTAAATTTGAAATGTGTTCTCTAAGATGCACTCTATATTTCCCACACATCACTAGAAGTCAAAGAAAAACACATTTATCCAATGTGATTTTTCTGATTCAGAAAACAAAATGAAAAAAAAGTTCATTTTTAATCTCCCTAGTACACGATAAAAACATATGTGGTATTTTGAATAGAACACATGAACTTTAAGCATTATATTGAAAACACGTGAGAATAGAAAATGCACAAGGACACATTCTGTATTTCCTAGGTATTTCACAAATTCCAAACAGAATACATTAACTTTAAGCATTCTATTGAAACCATAATTAGCAAATGTATTTTCCAAAATATTAAAAGCATGCTTAAGAAACACAGAAAGCGCAAAGTTCCTATAAAAGCATTTTATAAGAAGGCTCTCCTAAAGCCGTATTTACTAAAGTGCTATCTTGAAAACATTTTTGGTAGATGTGTTCACTAAGAAGTTTTCTCTTAAACAAGCATTTAAGACAATTTAGGAATCAAATTTGTGTTTACAAATATTAAGAAACCTTAATGTACAAATTTTAATATTGTGGTTATCAGAGAAAGGTTTATAAAAATGCAAATTTTGAAAGGCTAGGGACTCCTATGCATAGAATCAAATACAGGGGTAAGGACCTTTTGCTCTTTTGGTGTACAGAAAAAACTGTAGAAGGCCTAGAGGCTAGAAGAATTTGTGAACTTTTCTAGAACCATGATGCTTATGTGAACTTGTTTGTGTGCACCTACATTTTTTAAAGAATGATAAAACTTTTTACAATCCAAAAGAAATACTCTGTTCAATTTAGGGGGGTAAAGTACTATTTTTAAATAAAAATATCAAGAGATTCAATAATAAAACATTTAGTATTGTGATTATCTTAAACACATTTAGAAAAATCAGCTTCCTAAGGAATAGAAACTAGTATGAGCTTGCTTCAACAACATAACTAAACAAGAAAGACATAAAGATACTAAAAGCTATTCAGAAAACAAAATTGTATTTAGAAGTACATGTTTGAAAATGCAAATTCTAATACTATGGTAATATTAATTTTCTTAATAGCATACTATATATAGCCACAAAGTTTAGCATCTTGAAAATAAATGAAACAAGTATCAAAACAGTACAGAGGAAGAGAAAACTAAATAAATAAATTCATGTGGAGTGATCAGTTGTAATAACTCAACAAAACTAGACTACTTGAACTATACTTTTGGGTGACGAGGAAACCTGCAACCCTCCCCGCTTTGGGGATTTGTGACCCTAGGAAGTAAATCAGGCTAGGTTGCCCCTGACTGGCTCAAACTAAGAAGGCCAATAGGCCTCTCGTGGAGTCAAACTTGTAACCTTATGGTTAACACCTGACCAACTTGGCTAGGGTTGCCCCTTTACTTGAACTGTACTTTTCAAACCATGAGATGAAAATAAAGTGTGACAAATGTGCAACTTAGAGTAATATGAAATAAGAACCAACAAATAGCAACTTCCGAGACACACAGAACTTCAAACTGGGCTGAACAGAAATAGTTAAATGAAATTCAAAACCAATACTTAGGATGACAAACACTAAGCATAATGCATGACAAACGAAGTTTAGTTGTGTAGGATCTCAATGGCAAAGATGAAATTATGCTAAAACAAATCAAACACAAAATGAATAATAAAAAATCATACTCAATTTCAATCAAGACTAGTAAGTAGTAAGAAATTGAATACCTGCTTAACGATTTTGGAGACCAAGGAGAAGGTTGTTGCCCTTAGGAAGGTACTGAATATTAGGAGTCTTGGCCAAGGTGGATGCGATCTCCTTCGAGGCCTCGATCCTCCTGAGCTCTATTAAACCCATGCCGGCAGCAGAAGTAGCGTCAGAAATGAGTTTAGCAGACTCACTCTCACCTTCAGCTCGAATAATTGCGGCTCTCCGCTCTTGTTCAGCCTTCATCACAACAAACTTGGACCGCTCCGCTTCCTGCTGAGCAACCTGCTTTTGTTCAACGGCTTTGGAGAACTCCGCACCGTAAGACAAATGCGTTATAGCGACATCATCAAGCACAATGTCAAAATCCTTAGCTCGGCAAATCAAGCTCTCCCGGACCTGAGCCGACACGTGGGGGCGCTCCGTCAGTAGCTGATCAGCATTAAACTGAGCAACCACGGATTTAAGAACCTCGTTGCCGATCGAGGGAAGCACCTTCTCGTCATACTCTAACCCCAATGTTTTGAAAATATTGGGGAGATGGCCGACCTCGGGGCGGGATAGGACCCGGAGGGTCAGATTAACCATCTGCAAATCCTTTGTTCCAGACACGGACGAGAAAGTGTGTGGCCTAGTGCGAATATCAAAGATGAACGGCTTCTGTAGCCACGGGACCAGAAAGTGCGTCCCCTCGCCGACGGTATGGTCGATCACACCACGGAACCGATCAAAAAGCACGGCGCGTTGGCCGCCGTCGACGGTGTACATCGCGGAGTTAAGCACCGTCGCGCCAACTCCGAAGCCGAAAGCGGCCCGAGCAATGCTGGTGAGAAATGAAACGGCTTGTTGGCTTCCCATGATTGAGAACGAAAGTAGAAATCGGAGATTTAGGTAGGGTTTTAGCTCTGCAACGTCGATGGGGTAAAATGAGGTGTATTTGAACCAAACTGGATTCTTCCCCAAGAATTAACATTTCCAATTCCATTTATAACCTTGGGGCATAGGATTAGTTTGTTTGGAACTTTTATCTTCCCCCACTGTTTATAGTCAAATTGGAGGTTTATATAAAAATAATACTCCGTAATACGGAGTAATAAAATTGAAAGGATCATAGTAAAAGTACATTGCTTTTTTTTTTTTTTTTTTTTTTTTTTTCATAATTTAAAATTTTCAATTTTGTCAAACTATATCCTGAATTCTATACCAAGACTATATGGTCTAATGGTATCCGGATTGGACTTCTATTTGGAAGGTTGTGAGTTTGAGTCTCAGTGGAGGCATTATTGGTTCTTTGTGTTAGTAGCATTCTAAAAAAAAATATATATCATGAATTCTATAAATCCACCATAAACATATAACAAAGTAAATAGTCAATTTAATTTTAAGACTCAATACTAAATTGTACACTCTTACATGAGACCTCTCATTCATTATACCAATATTCATGGTGCGTTGAAAACAAATTTTACGTTAGACCTCTCATTCATTATACTAATATTATAAGTAGTACATTGTTTTTTTTTTTGGGTTTTTTTTTTTTAATAAATTACGAGGTGTTAGAAATCTTTCTCCGTCTATTTTATGGTCTGGGCCCATCCAACTAATCATTACTCGCTCCGAGATGCAAGAGAGCCGGTACAGGACAAATTGTTACTTATGAAAATCAAATCTGCGTTATCCTGAAATTCTTATCCACAAAAAAAAAAAAAAAAAAAAAAAAAAAAAAAAAAAGTCATTTGTCATTTAAGCTATTTCATTGGACATTATCATTTGTATTCCTAGTTTCCTTAGATATGAGGACATTTTAGTCTATTGTACGTGAATAACTCGTTACAGCAAAATTAGGATGATGATGATTAATGGGTTTTACGGTGGTTAACTGGTTATTATAAGGGGGCGTTTGGTTAATGTTAGTTACCAATTTCTAGAGGTACCCTCACTCACGCCTTGCGCACCAGAGTTACTCACCATCAGCGCCTCTTCTGATACCTTTCTCCTTCCTCCCATCAGGTAACGATGCTTCCAGTTCCAAATCGCCATTTTCTTTCGATTTCAAGTGACGGAGTCACAGCCTCTCTCATCTCCTTGCTTCTTCTTTGTTGAAATTTCTGTATCAGGATTGCAAGTGCCGTTGATTTGAATTCTTATGTCGTTTCCATTCCCTATTTCTCTGTTTTTAATGTGTTTATCGTTATTTGTTAATTGTTTTTATTGTATCAGAAGATGAATACATTCTAGGTTATAGGATAATGAAAGTGATTTCTATGTTTTTAGTTTTTTAAAATATATATATATATATATATATATATATATATATATATATATATATATATATATATATATATATATTCTGTGCTTTTTTCACTAACATTCTTTTTAAAAAATAATCATAACTGTCCAATTATTACATTAGATGAAATCAGTAATGGGGCATCAAGATTACAATGCACTGAATTGCAAGTTTGATTTTGAGTGCTATGGTGGTTTTGCTGCCAAACCTCCAGTGTGTGTTTTATGGTGAATGGGTGGCCTCCGTCATTTCTTCATCAACCTGAGGCAGTTCCTCAGGCTGATCTGAAGCCCAGTCTGGTGTCATTTTATCCCCTTTTAGCTATTTTTAAGCATCTCGTTTGTATCAAGATTCATAAGCTGCTCATTTTGATCCTCAAATTGTTTTGAGAATGTTCAGGTTTATTTATGCCTAGCAGATGCTTGATAAAAAGCTTCAAAGAATATACCAATTACAATATGATGATTACAATGTGCCCCAGATGTATGATAACTCTGTTGCTGTGTTTTTAACTTTTCTAGCCAAAGACTTTATTACTATGCAAATTCTGCTTATTGTTGATGTATGGGGGAGTATGAACTGGTTTCAGCGAGGACATGAGGAAGTTTTGTGGTGTGTTTTCATATTGTAGTCTTGTAATCAGTTAAATTTAAACCTACATGGCTGTGCTTTTTACACTAAGAATAATTCGGAGTAGCGTGGAAAAGTTGGGAATGATTGACCTGATGTCCATTCATTGTCCTACGGAGAATTGGTGCAGGACAATGTGACTTGTAGGTAAACAAGAGAAAAATATAGGATCCATTTTATCAGAATACTCCTTCCATTTTTCTGTTGGCTTTATATCATAACCGGTCAACTTAAATTTTTTAGTGTGGTACTTTAACTGTTTCCATCTCATGGATAAGAAATTTTTTGGCTATTTGTACATGAGTGCATGATCTCATTGGTATTATTTTCTATGTTACAGGGTGCAAAGATATGGCAATTAGTTATATGCGGTCATTAAAAAGTGTCGTCATCCCCAAGGAGATTGCTGGAGTAATTGGCTGCAGAACATTTGCTGCCGGAGGTGGTAAAGCAAAGAAGTCTAAAGGTGCAGCTGCTGATGCTCCAAAGGTGTCTTCACTCAGCAAAGAAGTGAAAGCAAGTACAGTTGTCGGTGCTAATATACTCAAGGATGGAACGGACCCTAAAGTCTTGGCCGACTCTGAGTACCCTGAATGGCTGTGGCACTTGCTGGATAAAAAACCAGCACTTAGTGAGCTAAGAAGGAAAGACTTAGAGACACTCCCTTACGAGGACCTCAAACGCTTTGTCAAGCTCGATAACCGAGCAAGGATCAAGGAAAATAATTCTGTTAGGGCCAAGAACTAAGTGTAGTCGACATCAGTCCTTTCTATACTTCAATGTTTTGTTGTCATGCATCATGAAAGATAAAAGAATTTGTATGAATTATGATGGTTGAAATTTTGCTGTGTTGAAGTAGACAACACAAGCGTTTCTTTCTTTTCTTATTACAATAGAGAATTTTAACTGTGGTTGAGTTTCTTATGTGCTGTGGACAGGTGCTTATGGGATTCACACATGATGATTTGTTATGTTCACAGTTTTGTTGGCTCACATTTGTTGTGTTTAAAGGCATTCATTTGGCACTTAGTCTCTTTTATTTACAGTCCAAGAGCATGCCAAAGTGACATTAGTGCATTTTTAGTAACCATTAGCAACTACTTTAAGAATATATATGGTGTTTAGAGCATCTCAACCCAATGGTTGAAACAAAAAGTTGAAAATATTGGCTAAATGATATTGTACAAGTTTATTAATATCATATATGAATGGATGATTCATTTATTCCAACAGAGTCTTCTTTAAGGACAGTTCGAGTTTCATAGTTCCACCCATCTCTGCTCACAAAGGGGCAGCCGAATGAGAATTAAACAGCTTCATTACCAGTCACAACAAGATGAATGATAACAGACATTCCAATGGTCACTTTAATTCACAGCTAAGTATAGGAACTCGACAATTGTAACTTCTATGATCATTTAACTTGTCATCGGTTAACTGATCCTTATGGTTTCTTAACCATGACCAAACATTCCTCGAGAAAGTTCTGCAGCAGTGACGCATAGGTGGAGGGGAAAGTTCTGTAGTGGTCTACATGAGGAGATGTACCAAAGTTGAATGATGACACTTTTCTCCCTCTCACTGACTGCTCTTTGATGAACAATTCAATGGACTGATAAGGAATGACCATGTCTGATGTACTATAAAGATAAAGTTGAGGACAAGGTGGCTGGTCATTCATGAGAGCAGAAATGATCTTCACCAACCTCCTATTCAAAGAAAAAAACAAGTCGAATCAAAAGCCTTATATAGTTTGATTGAACTTTATGGGAACCTTTTACATAATCCCCTCTTATATGGCTAGTTGATATACTCTTTGAAATAGCAGAAATGGAAGATACTTTCAAGATTCAACGAATTCTTACCGATTTTCATTTGGCAAGTTCAGAAGAATAGAGAAAAGTTTTTCAAATCCATCTAAAAGCAAGGTTTCAACGAACGAAGACTTCTTTTCTTGTATTTTTGAGGAACGAGAATCCAATTCATTCCCTTCTCCAGGATCTACTAAAGAGCTACGCTTCTTCAGCAGTGCCACAGTGAAGCCTGCTGCCCACACCTACCAATATTCAACATTGAGTTATTATTAACAGGTTGTTTCTGAGTGAAGTATAAAGTAAAAATAATACTCCAAATACAATGTGTCCAGTACATAATGCACACTACACTAGTTTAGACAACATACTAATAATTACTTTTCTTTTGCTAGGTAGACATTAGTAAAGTTCAGGAGAAAACCTCTTGAAAGATCTATCTAATATCATGAATTGAAGCAAACATCAAATATGGACAAGAAGTTGTGGGGTAAAAAGAGAAACAGAAGGACGTGAGGATTGTAAATAAGAAATTTCCTTCTAGGCCAGCTACTTGGAGTTTAACAGTCCAATGCCAGATGACCAACCTTAAACATTAGAATGTAGTTATACCAGAAACATTAAAAAGCCCCATGTAGAGCTCCTAAAAAGCAATTCTCTTTCATCCTCCGGTTAGATCATTAAATGACAAATGAACAAGATTGTTGTTGTCAAGTAGCTTGCTTCCAGATTCAGCATAACATAGAAATAGCACACCATAACAAAACAAAAACTTGGAACATGTCCCTACACAATTGTGTGTTACTTAAGAAGATGGAAGCAATAGACTGCAGCTTGCTTCGAGCAAATTAAGCGTAACTCCATTTGTAGGCACACCAAATACACCAGTTTATAACTTGGGCAGAAAGTCCAAACATCCAAAATCTTTTATACAAATCCAGATGGTTGGATATAACTTATATGGACTTGCATAATTCAAATTATGTCTCAAACTCCTAAAAATACACCTACACAACAAGATAATTAATTCCAAGCGCACAAAACAATATGTTCCACACATAGCAATTGATATGCATAAACAAACAAAACACCTTCAAATCTATTTTACAAGAATACCACCTGCCATACCCAATGATACCGGCACATGAACTGGTAGGGATTTTAACTACGTTAAACAAAGAAGTATAAATATGCAAAAGACACACTAGTAAATAATTTGAGTTAATTCCATTTTTTGTCCTAGATTTATAGACGGTAGTCCACTTTTAGTCCTTTTTAATCAAAACATCCACATTTGGTCCTAGTATTATTGTGTCATGACCATTTTTGGTCCTCCGTCAACAAAATCATTGAAATGTCGTTAAATACAAAGACATTTCAATCATTTTTATACAAAGTGAGTTGACCCCGCTATATTTTTATGTTTATTTTTTTGGAAAATCTGTAATTGAAGACCGAAATGCCTTTGTATTTAACGACATTTCAACGATTTTGTTGATGGAGGGCCGAAAATGGTCATACCACAATAATATTAGGACCAAATGTGGATGTTTTGATAAAAAATGACTAAAAGTGGACTACCACCTATAAATCTAGGACCAAAAATGGAATTAACTCTAAATAATTTTCAAACAAAGCAATCTCTTATTTGCATCAGATATTATCAGTAGTGCTTTCCTATTTTGAGGAACCAGAATTGACTGTGCTATAAATCACAGGGAATATTGTGCATTAGAGATTTCAAGAACAGACCTTGGGGTCTATGTGTGGGTCTGCTCCTGAATCAACAACACATCCCTTGATTTTGTCCAATAGATCCTTTCGGCCCCGCCAATTATCAAGAATGGCACCATATCTGCACAGAAGACAAACAGAAAACTGTAAAATCTGTAAGAGATCAAGATCCCAATCTAAAATCAGAACTGGCTGCATAAGCTTCTCAACAAGGATAGAGACTCGGAGTATAATCATTGAGCCATTGACTCAATCTAATCCTATTATAACCAGAGATTATTAAGAGAGAGAAAGTAAGAACAAGACAGCCAAAAAACCATAATCATCATCAAAATTAAGAGCCTAATACATCAACCTACGCAAGCCAGCCGGTATTGCTGAAAGTATGGAAGATCAAGACCCGTTCACGGCCATCCTCCTCTGACTGCGACACCCACGATGCGAGCTCATGAGCCACTGATACAACCCTCTCCTCGAGTTTCCTCGCTAAATCGAACGAAAGGACATCTCTCACCGAAGCTACGAACGTAACCGCGTGAATACCCTTGGAATTATACAACTCCGCATACCTCCTCAAGTGCTTAGGCTTCGCCCCAAGCCAACCCAGCAAGACCACAGTCACCACCGGGCCGTCCTTTCCCAGACCCCGAATTCCGCGCCCCTTTTCGCCATCCGAAGCGAAATGCCAATCGAGGGGCGTGCCTTTGGGGTTAGAAGAAATACGGGCGAAACGGTCGGAGGAGAATATGGAACTGAGAATTTGCGAATGGGAAAGCAGCGGGGATGAAGGGATTGAAGGCAAGGCGTTCGACGATTTGCCAATATGGAGGCCATTGTACGTGGAAAGTGAGAGACGGGATGCTGAAGCTGGACGGTGACGATGTGGAATTGTGGAAATATGTTTGGGGGAGAAGCTCTGAGAAGGGGTTCGGAGGAGGAGAGGGACGGAGATGTGGCGGTGGGAGGAGGCGGCTAGTCGAAGGGTGGCTTCCATCACCGTCGGCGATGTGATCAACAGAAATAGTTAAGGCGATGTGAAGAAGACTTTGGCGCGACTGCGGCGTCGTTATCGAACGCATCATTCATGCCGAAAACTGAAATACGGAGTAAGAAATTGGAAATTTCAGTGGACCAATGGTACGAAAGTTTTGTACGTTAAAAATCTACTCCAGAATAAGTGGGGAGTGCCCGATAGGGAATAAGCAATTGTTATACACTTTTGGTCCAAAAATGTGGCGTTGCAGTTAACGTTAACATATTATGTTTATAAATAAATTAAATGCACATAATAAGTTAATAGTATATTATGTGTCTGTGATAGTACTAATTCACCCGGATATCGGTTGTATGTATTAAAAAACGTATATGTGTATATGAATGTATGAACAATAAGGAACAATACAAGAAATAGCTCAAAACTCTCTTTTATTCCATGTTGTTCTTTCTTTGTCTTTGTGTATGAAGAGAGAAGGAAGAGAGAAATAGTTTAGAGAGAAGGAGCCCAAAGATGGTCAAATGGAATGGCCTCCCTCAAGCCCAAGGACCAAAAGGCCCTTAAATAGGGCCAACCGAGGTGGCGGGTTTGACCCGTCACCTTTGATCCCGACCCGTAGGCCAAGACCCGAACCCCACAGACGACGCCAAAATGATAGTGTTAATTGCCACGTAATGCGGTAATTAAATAAACACGAGACCAATTAAAGCAATTAAAAGTCTTATTGATCACAGTGAAGGCCCTAAGTACAATCTAAGTGGTTGCTCTGAGTACCGACTGACTGCGGTCGGGATTCTCTAATAACAACCTATCGATCGTCCAAAAGTCCCTCACACTGTCGCTATCGCGGGTATTTATAGCCGCGGAGCCGGAGACACAAATCCGGCCGTCCGGCATGCCTCCCACGTAGCAACCACGTGTCGCCATCCCGGGTGCCCTGCCTATCAACGCGTAGAGTCGCCACGTGTTTCTCACCAGCTCTCTTGCTAAAGGGCTACCGCTCTGTGGTTGGCAACGCCAATCGGGCACTACCCGGTCGGGAACCGACCGGGCCCCGACCGGGTTCTTCACAAGGAACCCGACCTGTAACCTGCAAAGACAAGAAGAAAATGACAAAGGCACATGGATCGGGGTAAGAAAATGGCGGTCGGGGTATTCCCTACCAGCGTTCTTTTCGCCCGAGTAATGTTTCGCCCGAATAAATCCAATCTCTCGGTCGTAAGCAAATCCAACCCCGTAGTTGGTTAAAGAAATATCCAGATCGCAGTCAAATCGCAACCCGGTCGTTGAACCGGTTGAGTTCGACCCTTCGCAAGTTGCGTTGCAAGTCCGACCAGTGGCAAATCCAGAAATCTTCTTCAGTGGGGGCGAAAAATTAAACCTAATGAGATATATTTTTTAAAAATGAAACACTTAGAGACCGAGTCATAAATATTGTTGACTAGAAATAAAAAAAATCAAAATATATCAAGACAAAAAAATATTTAAAACAAAATATAAAACATAATTAATTACATAAAATAGTTTGAATGAAAAACACATTATAAATCACTCATCTCACTATTAATATTAAAAAAGAAAAAAAAAAAAAAAAAAAAAAAAAAAAAAAAAAAAAAAAAAAGAGAAGAAGTCTCAATGATACAAATAAAAAATTCAATTAGAAATTCTCATTATTAATATTAAAAAATGTCAAGAACAAAAGTTCACTCACCTCACTATTAACATTAAAAAATGACAAAAAAGAAGCCAAACCAAATAAAATGAAAACAAAAAAGAAAAGAAGCCAAGCAAAAAATACAAGCTATAAGGGTTCAAACTCTAGCCATCTAGACTATTACACAATACAAGGGATTTTAATTGCCATCTAAGCAGAACTAACTATTAGTTAAATTTTAGTATATATAATATATATAGTATATATATGTGGTGGGTGAGTGGGGGCAGCTGCCCCCACTGCCCCCACACTAGGTCCGCCACTGAGTCCGACCACTAGGTCGGGCGCTCCCTTTCGGTCCACCAGACTATGTCTAAACGTTGCACTCTTTTTTCCTTTGGCTAAAATTTTTCCCACTGAATTTTTTTTTAGCCTAAGATTTTTAACGAGGTAACCGGCATATGTCACGGACCGTGTAACCAGTTTTTCCAGCCCGAACCCTTCATCGCTAACTCGTCGTCAGAGCACGGGCTGTGGGGACTTTATGATAAGTTATATACCCCGGGTTCGTGCCATCGCTTACAGTCGGGTCGGGGTTTCACGGTTTGGGTCTTGGCCTACGGGTCGGGGTCAAAGGTGACGGGTCAAATCCGAGATGGGTCAAACCCGCCACCTCGGTTGGCCCTATTTAAGGGCCTTTTGGTCCTTGGGCTTGAGGGAGGCCATTCCATTTGGCCTTCTTTGGGCTCCTTCTCTCTAAACTATTTCTCTCTTCCTTCTTTCTTCATACACAAAGACAAAGAAAGAACAACATGGAATAAAAGAGAGTTTTGAGCTATTTCTTGTGTTGTTCCTTATTGTTCATACATTCATATACACATATACATCTTTTAGTACATACAACCGACATCCGGGTGAATTAGTACTATCAGCCTGCATGTAACATATTATGCGTTTGTACTTAACATATTATGTACATTTAAATTATTAACAGAAACATAATAATATATTAATTACATAAACATAATCTAATTAAATGTTATTTTAGATCAAGGTTCATTGTATAATTTGCCAAGAATAGGGATAACGATATGAGATTAGGGAAATTAATGTCATTTCTCATTAAGGTTACAGTAGACGCTAGGCGCTAGTCGGACGCCCAAGGACACTTAGGTGGCAACCTAATTTGAAAAAATATATATATTTTTTAATATAAATCAAGTCGTGGCACCCCGTTACAGCTCTGAACTTCAATATAAATATTACTTCTCTCTACTCCAACACTTCAATCACACACTCTCTCACTCAATCTTCAAATCTATCTCTTCATAGCCTCTCCCAAATCCCAATTCATCTCCATCTTCGATTGCCCGAATAGCTTGATTGATTAATTTGCATTATTGGGTTTCGGGTTGACGACTTACTTTATTATCTCGATCAATAGGTCGGATTATACGCTAACGACCAACCCCCACTTTCCAAGGTACGAATATCCCCAACACGGGGGGCGGGGGGAGTGTGTTCGAGACCTAATTTTTGTCACATTATTTATTCATGAGTTCGACTCCTCGATCGGGTCTAAACCCGTGAGAATACCACTCCGTAAAGTGTATTAAACTTACGTCTGTCGAGGTGGGATCTCGGGATTGATTGCTTGCGAGTTGATGCTCAAATTTGACTATGAACTTATTACGACCTAGGAACCATTTCTACCAACATTGGGATCAGGTTTTGCTTCGAAAATACCTTAGACCTCACATGAAACCCTTAGTTTCGAATCTTCAAAGACTTAGAAGAATCTCATTGTAGCTTCAAGTACCTCAATTATGCAATCTTCAATCAACTAGAATCGGGTCTACTTTTCTTCGATTCAAGAACGAGTCCACGAACCTAAATCTAAGGTTGAAGAAAGGAAGAATGATTCGAGTCCACGAACTATCCACTAATTGAGTCCACAATTAGCAATAAGGTTTCTTACACTGTAAAGAAAAACCTAAGGATTTGATTGAATGCAAGCGTTATTAAAGTTCCTATGGTTGTGCCCTATTTATATGTATAGGGGCAACATTGTAATCCTAAATACAATGGGAAAAAGAGTCATAAACTTAATCTATAAAGCAAGTAAAGATAGTTATATTTAGAAATAATAATAGATTTAAGGAATTATTTCTAAATACAAACTAGTATTTTCTCTTTAATGCCTAACATCTTAAATTAATGATGTGCAAAAATAATATAGTTGATTTAGGCGTAGCTTATTCCCCAAAATAAGGGCTTAATTGATTGAACAATTATTCATCTTTTACAATTGGGTTTGACTTGAATTTCCATCTAATGAAGAGTTACCTTAATTGTTTGGACTTGACCTTGTGATTGGCCTAATTAGTACTATTAATGAATTTTAGTATCACAGTCACCACCACCACACCACAACATCACCACCACATATTATTATTACTAGTTCTTTTACACGCTTTGCACGAATGGAATAATGCCCAATGATTATTTTTAAATAAGTATTTCGAAGTATTCAATGCAATATTAATCGGAGATGTTCATGCATAGGTAAATAAATATTGAATTTGTTTATTTAAATCGGTAATTTAAAGTATATAAATGCAAGATAATATATGAGAGATTGATTATATTGTCACTAAAATAAATGTTTACAACCTTGTAATAACGCTTGTCTAAATACTTAGTCTAAAAACGATAGTCTAAATAAATACTACTTTTGGTTTAAATTTCTCTAATTCTTCTTAATTCTCTTTTAGGTAGCATTGTCATTGTCTTCATCTTCAGTACATGTCATCTTTTTTTTTTTAGAGTTCTACTACATAGACTCACAAAATTCTACTCCCTCATTTATACTCCCTGAGGTGGCAAACCAGGACTGGTTATTTTCATCATGTGGGTCCACTGAAAAGTGCCTACATCAAAAGTATTTGAGAGGGAGTACAAGTTGGGAGATTAAAATGGGAGTACACCAAGTATTTTTATTTTTTTTTTATTTTTATTGGTAGTGTGTCATGTGCAATTGGGTTACTGGTGATAGCATAAATGAATTCATCGAGCAATGAGATTATGGTGTAGGAAGCTTTAGATTTGCATTGTTGTGTATATGATGGGATTTAGTTGTACTATTAACTCTTTATCTTAGAAGCACCAATTGATGTTTGGTAATAGTAGTTTTCCCCCTACATGTTTCATGCATTGTGAGATGTGTAGGTTATCATGTGAAAGTATTGGGCAAAATATTAATATTTATTATATTTGTATAAACAAATTGGTAAATAAATATATAGAGAAAATTACACTTTTTGTCCTATGACTATAGTAGAGGTGGTAATTTCAGTTCGTGACTTTTAAAACTAACAGATTTAGTCCTTTTAGTAAGCTTTTTTTTACACATTAAGTCCTTCCGGTCAAATCACCGGTGGATTTTGGCCGGAAAAACACAATCCCTTAATTTATTAAATATTTGGGGGGTAAAATGGTCAATT